TATATATATATATATATATAATACTGACATTAAGAGTAATGTATGTATTATTATTGTTATTATTGCCATGTAAGTGAGAGTGCGAGAGAGAGAGAAAGAATTGTTAATAGTTATATATTACTAAACATTAATTTTAAGAGTAATGAATTATTGTTATTATTATTATCATTATTATGTAATAATGTCATTAACAACAACATATATAAATAATATAACAACAAAAAATAAATAAATAAATAATATATACATTTGGTAATAATAATAATAGTAATAATTTATTACTTATTAATATTATTAATACTGATTAATCAGCCAGTAGTTTTGTGTTATTGGCATTGATAAACCACAGACTGATTCATGTCATTTCTTTCGTCTCTTCTCTGCTCAAGTCCTCCTCAACATCTAGTCAGGACGATGAGAGGTCGACCCTGGAGGAGGTCAGTAAAGGCGGTATCCCCATCGATCAGCCTCCGCCGGCCCTCTTCACCCCAGGACCGAACGAGTTAGACCTTAATTTCACACACGGCACCACCCTCAACAAATCCAGCTCCTCCCCAGAGCTCCAAACGCTCCCCGAGGCCTTCACTAAGGCTGCGGCCCAGAGCGCCGCTGACGGCGATGTGCTCAGCTCCAAGATCCAGACGGTCCATGCCGCCTCAGAAAGGGAGGTCTTAGGAGAAAGCGCTTGGCCGGGAGAGAGCGTTATATCAGCCGGCCCGTCCAGCTCCAGCGCTAGCGTCTCCGTCTTCTCGTCCTCCACCTCCAGGATGAGGCTGGAGTTTCCCACGGCCCAGCCGGGACCCCTGTCTCCCACCGGACACAGACCCCGCGGACACACCATCTCAGTGTCTGCGCCCTCGTCCCGCAGGGAGAGGAAGATAGACAGAGACTCGTACCACAACCGAGGAGGACCATCCAACGCAGAGAAGAGCTCAGGACTCAGTCCCAGGTAACATGAAGTTCAAACTCGTGTTCTGCCTTCCTTTATACACACTACAAAGTCTGTTTTTCATGCAGTTAAGCATGTTAACCAGGGTTAATGTGGGGGAAAAGCTTCCTGTGCAACGGTGTGTCAGTTCTTATCAAAACTACAGCTATGGACAATCCATTAAGGCTGGGCGATATGGCCAAAAATATTATTACAATCTTTTTTTTTCCATATCATACAATATCATTATTTATCATGATATTCATTTACCAATAATGGGGAAGGAAATGCTTTCCACATATTTGCTAAACCTTTAGAATGTATGTTAAGATAATTTGTTCACAATTAAAACCTTTTAATTTAGGGCACCATGAAATCGGTTTCATTTTCCCCTAAATTCTGTTTTCCATTTTAGTTTTTCCTGGATTCTGTGTTTTATTATTCAGTACAAATTTATCATAAAAAAGGTGTCTAATTAAATTAATGAATAAAACTTTAACAATTTAATCAGTCTTTCAAAATTTAATGAAATTAAAACGTAATTTACAAATAACAAATTTGTCAAATAAGATGCTGCACAACAGCAATGTATAACTGTATAAATTATTGAAAAAATACCTTAAAATATTATTATTATTATTACTTGAGAATTACATTTTAGTAAACAATAGTAATATATTTCTGTCATAATTTCTTCAAGTTAAACCAGACTTTTATTTTGGCAGTTTGTCGTGAAGGTCTTTGTTTTACTTTCAGTTTCAGTAGTTTTTCTCAAATGAAACGGTGAAAAGCTGGTGAAGTGACTCTTGGAGCAGCTCTGGAGATTAAGTTCATGTGATATTGCATATTGAGATATGATAACGTTTTATCGCCCAGCCCTGCAGTCTGTTATGGCGAATGCCGGCTCAGTTGTGTAATGGATGGCAGGAAGTGTGACTGTGATCATGTTCAGCAAACGTTAACGCACCTGTAATGTCTGTGAACAGCATCCATTTGATCCCACCGCATTAAGTGCTCCATTTTCTAGGAGAAGCAAAGCATTATATGGACAGTAATGATATGGCTGAAACACCTTATTTTTTTCATTACTGTCATCATCTGTCGCCCCGTTGACATTAAATCATCCTGCCTCCTTCACTCGCTCGGCTCATTTTGTGAAGTGAGGCTCTTTCTGAGTTGAGCGCTTTCAAATTGTTGCCTTGAATTGGAATTACTTGCAAATTACTCCCATCCGTCTTTGTGAGGTTCAGTGCTGCTGGAGTTGCTCGATCGATAGACTCGCTATTTATAGACCGCAGCCCGGGAAAGCCTAGCGAGTTTCCCGTAAGAGTGCTCTCCTCCGTCACAGAGCCGTATGTGTCTCGTTTAATGGGGTTCAGTCAGGCACTAAGAGCACTGGCACTGTTGTCTTTCATTCTTTGAAACAGTTTGCAGAGCCTTTCACTCTGTTGTGTGCAGATTGTTGTTCGATTTAAAGCATTTCCGTTTGGATAAAGCCACAGTTACTTCCTAATAAGGACTGAAGGGCCCCGTCACTCAAAATACACTTGCTGTATGAATAGAGGCGTAAAAGGAGTAGTTTGGTGGAACAAGCTGTTATGAATGTCCTGGCTTCTCTTTTCTATGCAATAAAGGTGGATATGGATGGGAGCTGTCAAAAAGCGCTGTAAAACTGTCATAAAAATGTTTCATGAGACTCGTGCACTTGTGAAAATATAGCATACAACAGTTAACAGAAATGGAACAATTATTCATTGTGTTCCCCTTTTGCTGTAGCTATGTTGAATGCATGCACGCACACACACACACACACACACACATGCACGTTGTGACATTGTTTTAGCACAAATAAAATGGAAAACCAAAAATGTAATTGTCTACCGTAATAGACAAATAAATAAATAAATACATAAAAAAATACAAATAAAAAAAACTATATTGTATAATGCTTGCATGCGTTGCATGAGAACAAGTGGTTTAATTTTTTATGATTTTACTAGCTGTTTATTTTACCAACTGTTTTTATGTATATGTAAATATAATTTGAATTTGTATTTTATATATATATATATATATATATATATAGTGC